TATATATATATATATATATATATATATTAAAAAAAAAAAAAGAACAAGTGGGGTGTACTATTTCCCTTTTTAAATAAGATGGGATCTATGACTTTATTTTTTTCTTTTTCATTGTTGTGAAATAGTAACTAGGGTTTGTTGTAAGAGGAAATATAATATCAGGGTTTCCATAATTAGGTCATATTTTTCTATGTGTGTAGAAAAGAAGTAAAGTTTTTTTTTATAATCTTTTTTGAAGATGGGAAGAGGAAAAGTTGAATTAAGAAAAATAGAGAATAAAATAAATAGACAAGTAACATTTTCAAAGAGAAGAGGTGGATTAGTGAAAAAAGCTCATGAAATTTCAGTTTTATGTGATGCTGAAGTTGCTTTAATTGTTTTCTCTCAAAAGGGAAAAATCTTTGAGTATTCCTCTGATTCATGGTAAGTTTTTTTTATTTTTTATAATTATGTAATTAATTTATTTTGAATTTATCTTTTAATTTTTATATGTTATATATATAAAAAAATTCCTTTTGTATGAACTAAATGATATTTGTAATAGTTAATTATGGAAGAAAAATATTGATTTTCTTTTCTTAGAAAGATTTCTTGAGTTTCATGGTTTTTTAGTTTTATTTTCTTGATATAGTTATTTAATTTAGCTTGAATTAACATAGCATATATAAGATCTTCATTTTTGTAATTTTTTTTCCCTTATTATGATGAAAATAATCCTACAAATATCATGTGTGTTTGTGACATAATTATAATAATATTTGTAATGGTTAATTATGGAAGTAAAATGATCTTCTTTTCTTTTAAAGTTGTCTTGACTTTCTTGTTTCATGATTTTAAAAATAAAAATTAATTTAGCTTGAATTCCTTGACTTTCAAGATTATCTTTTTTGTAGTTTTTTTCTTACTGTGGAAAAAATTATTCTACAAGTATCTCTTGTGTCTCTATATATGAAAAGAATTATCTAATCAAAACAAGATTTGTACAAGTCACAAAACTAATTATAGAAGAAAATTGATCTTCTTTTCTTGGAAAAATATCTTGACTTTCTTTGTTTCATGATTTTTTATTAATTTCTTTGATGAAGTTGTTTAATTTGGCTTGCTTGACTTAAACTTTCAAAATTCCATCTTCATTTTGTTGTAATTATTTTTTTCCTCATTTTTTGTGAAATGAAGAAAATAATCCTAAAATATCTTGTGTTTCTTTTTGCAAAAAGATTGATATAACTAAAATAACATTTGTAATAGCCGCGAAACTAATTATATATGAAATAAAATTGATCTTCTTTTCTTTGATGGATTTCTTGAGTTTTTTGTTGCTTGATTGTTTATCAATTTTTTTTTTGATTAATTCTTTAATATTGTTCTTTAATTTTATGGACTTTTTTCTCCTCTTCAATTTGTTAAGAATTGATGACTAATGATGAACTCAGCTGAATATTACTGTAAGATATTTTAAGGTTCAGTAATTATATGATTGTTCATTCTGAATAAATCATTCATCATAGTTTTATTTTTTATTTTAATTATATTTTTCTTTATTTTTCTTGGTTCATACATAGGAAATGACAAACTGGAAATTCTGCACATAGGACTTCTTCTCTAGCAGCCTTACATATTCCAACTTCCAACAAAATCACAACAACAAAACAATTTAATTAAAAAATTATTCACTTTTCTTAAAAGTAATTTTTCACTTTATTTGAAAATTAGTAAATTAGTGTTCTGTCACAAGAAAATTTTAAATCTAACTTGAAATTGTATATTCGAATTGAATCTATTTTCAAATGCAATTTCAATTTCTAAAAATCATTTTTCAACTTTAAATATCCCTTTTATCAAATATCACTTAAATCATACATATCCAAACACCTAATTACACAAATATCTTGACATATTTAAAAGTGTTATGACTATATAACTATTATTATTATTATTATAAATTATACATTTTCATATACTTTTCTTCCAATTTTATACCTAATTAACTTATGCCACGTAAATCTAAACTAGATGAACATATATCCTAGATTCTTTTATTACTGTAAAAAAAGAAATAGAAGAACTGACACTCAGAGATTATTTGTTTGTTGTACTCTAAAAATACATTTTCCAAGAAGCATCTACTGATCTCATAATCCTGGATTTTGACTTCTGTAAATCACCTAATCAATTGCAAAATGTTCGATTAGATGTATAAGAATAGTACTAAATAGGATAAATCAGTAACGATAATAATAGTTCTATTGATTATATTATTTTTATCGTCTGTTTAATTTGTAGTATTAAGTGAATAATGTTCATTTATCATGAATAGAACATATATGATCTAGAAATAGAATATGTATTGTTAATGTTATGATTTACTATATATATTGAAAACACATTCAAACAAGGGATTAACTAATATTAACGCTAATAACAATATTATTTTCTCTAAGGTATATTATATTTAGCGTTTGACTGATGGGATAAGAAATAACAATCATGATAGAATTATTTTATTGCATGTGAACTTGCATAATATATTATGTTTTTTTATTATTATTATTGAGAAAGATTAATGATCATTTTTTTATTTCTTGAAACAGTATGGAACAAATTCTTGAACGATATGAAAGATACTCATATGCAGAGAGACGTTTGCTTGCAAATAATTCTGAATCACCGGTATGGACCAAATTATAAAAGGTTTTCGATAAATATTTTTAATTTAAGTTATATATATATATATATATATATATATATATGGTTAGTATTAATAATTTTTTATATCATTAGTATCAAGTTGTTCAAATGATATTTATAGCTAAGCTTTAAAATTAGAGATTTGATTAATCTTGAAAAGAAGATATGTTATCTGATACAATAGGTAAAGATGACATGATGTTTCATAGTGTAAAAATAAGGTGTCTTGTATTTTTATGTTATTTTATTTGCTTCAACTATTGGATTATTTTATGTTGCTTCTAATCCTTTCTTTTTACTTTTCGACATGGTTTCTTCACTATTATATTTCCTTTTCAAACGTAACTTGGTTTGAAATCATGTTCTACTTGAATTGAGTGTCTATCGAAAACAGCCTCTATACCTTCACAAAATAGGAATAAGATCTATGTCTCACTATCCCCGACCTTACTTATATAATAAGTACATTGAATATATTATGTCGTTACAGTATTAATGGCTTTTTTTTTTTTAATCTTCGAGATGATTTATTGGTATTTGTTTAATTAATATATAGGTGCAGGAAAATTGGAGCTTGGAGTATACTAAACTCAAGGCTAGGATTGATCTCCTGCAAAGGAACCACAAGTAAAATATATAATTTCTTAATTCCATCAAGGATTTTGCTATATATGTTGATTTGTGTGTTTGGTAGGATGGAAAATATTTTTAAATGTTTCGGTATGTTTTATTAGTCATGAATATATAAAGGCGAATTCAAAATATAAATTTTATGAGTTCATTCTTTTAAGAGTTTTAGCATTGCATCTTTTATATATGGATAGTTATGAGTTCATATCTACTATTCATAAATCTTATACAAAAATTTATGCTCAGCATCAAAAATGGTAGGTTCAATTGAACCCGTACTTGTAATAGTACATACGCCCTTGTCAACGTGTTTTTCAAAAATATTTTCTTTCGAAAAATAACTCCTTTATAAATGAGAAAAATGACTTCTCTGAGCTGAATGGGAAATAAGTTAAATAAGCAACATTCCAACCAATGTTACCTCATAACTAAGGTTTACTTGCTAATGTTGCTCGAACTCTTTGAAAATGTCAAAAGATGCGTATCGGATTCTCAAAAAGTAATGTATTTTTGGAGAATCCGATACAGGTGCGCCATTGAAAGTGAAGAATCCGCACAACTTAGTTCATTTGTTCATCATCACTATGGCATATTCATATTTTGTTTTTACAATTATTTTTCAGGCATTATATGGGAGAAGATCTTGATTCAATGAGCTTGAAGGACTTGCAAAACTTGGAACAACAGCTTGATTCTGCTCTTAAGCTAATTCGATCAAGAAAGGTAATTTGTTATACGTAATTTGTTTGGGACTGAAGCGTAGTTATTATTATATTTTTGCTACCAGAAACAACTAAGGGTCTTAGATTTATAGTATGTACATTATATGTGATATACTTAAACATACATGATAAATGTGTTGGCTACTTTGTGACTAGATCACCAAAATGTTCACCCACTTGATAGCAATGTATTGCTCAGATTCTTTAAAAATGTCGTTTGGTGCGTACTGAATCTTTTAAAAATAATATTTTTTTTGAAATTTTATATGAGTACGATAACATTTTTGAATAATCCGAACGCTGTTGTTAGCTTGATAGACCATACTTTTGAGTGGATTACCGTTTGCTTTCTTTCTTGCAACTTTTTGGATTTTATGTTACATAAAATGTTTGTGTTGCAGAACCAACTCATGCATGAATCAATCTCTGAACTGCAGAAAAAGGTATTAATTTATATTTTATTTATATTTTTTTAGTTTGATCTATTGGAAATCGTCTTTTACCTTGGAAGGTATTGATAAGGTCTACATACACACCATCTTCTCAAAATATTACGTTTTTTAGTTTGTTCTAAAAAAAGATCAGACTTCTTGATCAGAAACAATTTAACTTTAAACTTCTTCTTTTACTTTGATGAAATGATTTATGCCACAGAGATCGATGTTTTTGTCTTGTTTTAGACCATTTGAAAAATCTTTCTTTATTTTTTAAAGTTCTTGTTCACTCAAACACCGTCACATAAATCGAGACAGGAGTAATAAGCATTTAATCTTTGATTGATGCCTTTTGACTACAATGTTTTCACAGGAAAGGGCTATCCTAGAGGAGAATAACATGCTAACTAAGAAGGTGTGTTTGTCTCATGTTATTTTTTTCTATGCATTATTTATATAAATGTGTGAGTTAACTTGGTTTCAGCTGGTAATAGTGTTTGTATGCATAAGTAGACACTTAAACTTAGATAAAGTTAAATAAGTAAGCACATATGTTCCACATGATATAATACACATAAAACGTCATGTAGGATGTAATTTCCATTATTCTAATTAAAAAATAGCATTTAATGGATCATATTAATTGGTTATTTACACTTTTTATTTGCTTCTAAACAGATTAAGGAGAAGGATAAGATAGTAGAGCAGCAAGGTGAATGGCACCAGCAAACTAATCAAGTTTCTACTTCAACATCTTTCCTCTTACAACCACATCAATGCCTAAATATGGGGTAATTTTCTTCATCTATAACAAAATTAACAAAATCAGTTAGTGACAGAGTCAGAACTTTTATTTAGCGTGTTCAAAATTAACTATGTATACATATTAAAAAAATATTAGCCTTCTACATATACAGTATAAATTTCCAACGAAGGAGTTCATTATTAATCTTATTGTTGAAAGTTATATTTACTTCCATGTGATTATAAAGTGATCTTTTTGATAACCAAGAAACTAAGTAGGCATTTAACCATGTTTCATTGTGAAGATAGAAAAAAACAATTTTTTGTTTTCAAAGTAAAAAATGATATTTGAAAATTGAAGTTGTGTTTGGTCATTAAATAAATTACTGAGTAATTTGAAGTGAAAACAAGAATTTTTAGAATTGATGATCAAACGTGTTTTCTAGAAGGTGGGAAAAAATTTCATGATCAAACGCTCCCTAAATCTCAAAGGGCCAGTTGACTCATGGTTTTTCAATGGTTAACCACATTTAAATTTCTTTATCTAGAAAGTTTGTTAAGCATTAATTACTTGTTTGATTGTTTTATTAATTTTTCTAATTAATTGATTTTGATTAGAGGTAATTACCAAGATGAAGCAGCAGAAGCAAGGAGGAATAATGAGCTTGACCTAAATCTTGATTCATTATATCCACTTTTCAACATGAATAAACATCTATGAATAATTTCAGTCTTGCAAATCGCTTGCAACGTTGAAAGGAGCTCACTATCAGGACAGATGAATATAAGCGATTAGCGATAAACTCTATGTGGAGGAAAATATTTAAGATGTTAATTAGTCTATGCTTGGGAAATTCTTAATTATATATATCGAGTGTTTTTATATTGATATGCATGTATAGAACCTAATTATTATTAATGTCTTTGTATTAATATTTAAGTATGTTAATTCCCTAAACCTAATATGTAAATGGAGTTAAGTCCATTTGCTCTTTGTATTAGAATTGTTGTTGATACAATTATGGTTTACTATTTCTAATTCTTTTGTCTCATTTAAAATAGCTTTTTCAGCACTTTATAATATTTATGTATAGTTATTATCTCGAAAAAACACTAGCATTATGTCATTAATCTTCGAGATGTAAAGGCCACAGCGCAAAAAAGATAATTTGAAAAATCTAAATTTCAGCTTTATCTGATCAAGGGTCGGGGCACAAGGGTTTGGTACTATCCATGTGGTGAAGAACCGCGGAGATGCCTGCAATGAACAGAGATCTCACTCACGGGCCTAAAACACCCACGAAAAAGCCCATGGCAGCAAAAGTATATACCAAAAAGAGAGTTTTTAAGGAGAACCAAAAATTCTCTAGACTTTGTATCGCGTTACTCATCGATCCTTTGTAGATGTCAGGGGACCAGAGTGTGGTAAAAAATCATGTGCACCTTACTAAGCTCCTTCTCTTCAACTCTGAACATCAATTTGTCTCCTCGAATTCCATCAACTGCGCGAAGAAATCAAAGTGTTTAAGAGAAATGAAGCTAAAAAACTTGACTGGATTGCATTCCACAATGGAAAACACAAAAAAACTTCCAAGTCTAAGCATAAATCGCCATCTTGGCACATTTCTTTCCCGAGGATAATTCTGTGATCTTTAGGCTCTTTCGAATGTGCCAAGATGACGATCATAAGTGGAAGTCAATGTGTGGTTTAAGTAACAAATGTGTCTACTTCGAGTCTGCTAACTCTTGTGAGAACCCCAAATTCTAATTCTATCAAAGTGTCCCACAAAATTGTTGTGAGGAATCAAGACGTGCTGAGTAGGTATATCGGATTGCAGTCAGCAGATATAAGGTTATACATATCACCAATATATGAGCCACTTTAACACGTACATATTCCGGCTTAAATACAACTCAGATGTCTAAATGAGCAAGTGATCATTGACTACCTACACTGCTTTGACTTTCAGATAACAAAGACTATGTACGTTATAATACTGACATCGCATGCATTACATCCGTCCCAATTTATGTGGCGGTAGTAAACTAGGCACAAAGTTAAAGAAAATTAAAGACTTGTGAAATATAAAAGAATTAAGAAAATCTTGCCTTTCCACAAACTGGACATGTTTCACTTCTCTCTTGCCACTCGTATATACAGCTGAGGTGATAATGATGAGAACATTTTGTAAATATCTTGGGATTGTCTGGTGTATACTCTGCAAACAAAAAAAATAGTGTCGTTAGGTAGATCAAGAGAATCGTCAAACCTTGTAGTTAGAGCCTAAGAGCAACCTCTTTTGTCAATCTGTTGCGGCTGAAATAGCTCTTTACAATCACAAAATTGTAAAATAATGTTAGCTACCTTCGAGGCATGTGGGACATACATCCTCATCTTCTGATGAGCAAACGACATATGGAACAGCTGTCACCATGATCTCTGGACGATATTCTTTAGATCCTCCGTCACAGTTTGATTTAAGCACTGTGTCTGATCCTACTGTTATTTCAACATCAGCATCTGGTTCAGGCTCAACTCGTGAATGACTTGTTCTTTTGTCCTGTTGTTTAAATGCAGCATCTTGTTGCATTTGTGGCTGTCTTGGAGCAGCAGTATTTGGTAAACCTCTATCACGAGACATGATTGTATTACGTGAACTGTTGATGGTAACTCCAGCAGTCGAAGATGACGGGCCTTGATGAGCAGAGTCTGATTTAAGCAGATTGCCTGCTTTTAGAAGCTTTTGTGTTGTTTCAATATCAGCATCTATATCTGGTTCGGGCTCAACTCGTGAATGACTTGTTCCTTTGTCCTGTCGTCTTAATGCAACATCTTCTTGTATTTGAAGCCGTCTTGGAGGAGCAGCACTATTTGGTAAACGTCTATCCTGAGGCCTGATTGTATTACATGAATTGTTTATGGCATTTGGAGCAGTCGAAGATGGCGGGCCTTGATTAACTGAAGTCCCAGCAGTTCCTTGTGCTTGCCCAAATATGGTTCCACACTGATGACAAGTAATACTAAAAAGTCAGTATCATGATAAGGAACAATCGGCATTTTGTAAATAGTAAGCATTTCGACTCAAGGGAAAAATAGTCCATAGCAGTCAAAAAAGTAGTACAAGAAATAGCACATAGTAACATAAACAGCAGAGAGTAACATGACAGTAACTACAACAAAATAATATGATAGTCGAAGTACAAGAAACAACAAATAATAAAAAAAATCAAAGGACAAGAAAAGACAGGAGCAATACTACAACTACTAGTATTGACGAATAACAAGACAACACACTGCTACCTACTAACCTTCTACCCTAATCCGTGTCCTCCACAAAGCCAAAGCAAAAATGAATCATTTGCAAAGAAGATGCTAGGCTAGCAATCTAGTCTTGATTTTCTTTCTGAGGTAGATTTCACTTCTCTTCAAATACGACAGAGCTTTTCCATGTTTAGACTTGTTCAAGAACGAGTGGTCACAGTAGCATCTCACATTCATCACTTTTTCCCCAGGCAAATAGTTTCTGATATTCCAATCATAGTTCATATACATCATAAAGAATACGAAAAGAAAATGGTGACTAAACATGAAGTATTAGTTTCTTAAAAGCTAAATCGGTATCCATAATTAAACAGTATGTAGTGGATTGAGCAAGGTCAGAAAATGCTGAAAATCCTTCACATTAGTAAAAAGGGGCAGCCCGGTGCACAAAGCATCTCGCGTTAGTAGTCTCCGCGTGATGGGCCGCACCCCAAGGGTGTGGATGTAGGCATGTAGCCAGCCTACCCTAATGCAAGCATTAGTAGAATTTCAAATCTTTTCACTTTGGAATTCTATAGAATTACATCATTCCTTGCATAAGAGGAAGGTAGGTTAACTCCCTAGTTCTTTAAGGTAGTTGAAATGTTTCCTCAGAAGCATCTTCACCTGCCATGCTACTTAAATATTCATTGTTGTTATGGTTAGTTGAGTTTGGTAGTCTAACGGCTTGATTAACAACGTCAGTTCAACGTAATCATTTATTCATCGAAAAACTGATAAGGCAGTATAAGCTAGGTGGCAGGGGAGATTCGATACAAACAATGTGATAACTACATCAATTCAACGCGACTTTAAGAATCTAGCCATCATTCATCGAAAATTGATAAGGCGGAATTAGCTAGGTGGCAGGGGGAATTCGATACAAACAATGTGATAACTACATCAAATCGACACGACTTCAAGAATCTAGCCATCATTCATCGGATATTGATAAGGCGGAACTAGCTAGGTGGCAGGGGTATTCGATATAAACAATGTGAAACATTAAGTGGTTTGGTGCACCATCCAAACATTATAAGAACAAAATATACTAAATTTCATGGCGGAAAGAAAATCACACCTTATTAATTAAGTTCTGAAAGCAGCAACTGAAACACTTGCAGAAAGTATGATTTTGATCATTCGAGGCAGCATTCCCTCCAACATCCCGAACAGTGAAACAGGAACAAACTGAACCCATGATGTTTCTTCAATTTGTTATAGAAATCTTCAACCTTTCATTAGCAATCCCCTTCTCAATCCAGCAGCCAGATTTCCCTTTAAAGCTATAAATATGCAAACAAAAGTAAACACGAAACTGTAAATAAACATGTCAGGCCAAAAATCAATAATTACTATGTTGAAGGGAATACCTAATCACAACCAAAAAAGTAGACTTTTTTCCCCAAATTCTTCCTCTTAATACAAAGATTAAAAATAATACACCCTCCGTTTCAATTTGTTGGTCTTACTTCCATTTTTAGTCCGTTTCAAAAAAGAAAGATGTCTCTTTCGACCACAAAATTAACAGACATTTTGATACGTTGTACCTATCTTTTGTTTAAGAACAATAAGATTCAAAAACATTCTTTAGTTTCTTATAGAGCGTGCCATATCATATCAAAACCATACAAACAGATTGAAAGAGAGAGAGCTAAAGATACCATTTTTTACACTGAACTCTCTTCGGACCACAAAATTAAAAGACATTTTGATACGTGTACCTATCATTCTATTAAGAACCGCAATATTCAAAAACATTCTTTACTTTCTTAAACTCCATGTCATATCATATCAAAACCAGCAAACAGATTGAAACATATACCATCTTTTTACCCTAAATAGATAGTTTCATTCAACAGATAATGCAATCAATTACTGAAAATTCAAATCACCACCAAAACAAACTCAAGTCCTACTGAAACAGAACATAAAGACTATAACTATACCAAAAACAACATAACCATAACATGCAAATACTCATTGATCACAAAAAACAAACATATACCCAAAAAGACAAAACTTTTTAGCAAAAAAACACACCCATAAGAATTTATGAATCGAGAATAATTATATGCAGCAAAAAAAAAAACACCCATAAGAATTTATGAATAGAGAAAAAAAACAAGATTACAGAGAAATAAAAGTGACAGTACCAGGGTTTTGGAGCAGGGTTTGTGAGAAAAGTGAGGAGTTTTGAGAATTGGGAGAATTATAAGAGAAGTTTAACACAAAAGGAAGAAAAAAGTTGGAGTGTTTATAATATAAGGAAAATTGTGGGGTTTATAGGGTTCTATAAAGGCGAAGAATTAGCTGAAAATATATCTCTTTTATCCTATATTTTATCCGTCTCAATTTACGTGACATCGTTCAATCAGTTAATAGTTTCAATGTTCAATTTACATTACATTATTTAATTAGGTAAGGAGTTTAAAAATAAAAAAAAATAAGTTTTGTGTAAATTATCATCAACACGTATAATTACTTCATTTAAGCTTATTTTAGTTAAATATTATGGAGTACATTTGTAATTAATGTGTAGACCTATTATATTTAGAGAATAATGTCGAATTAAATTGATAATTAAGAAATTTATTCAAATAATCATTTTAATAAATATATGTTTAGCTGATGTAAGACACCAATCTTATCTATAGGAACACTATGCGATAAAAAAGTCAAGTTCGATTAAATTACTTTTTTTTTAAATGTAGGGGTAAAGTTTGAAAAAAAGGGTTTTTCTAGTTTTAATTTAATTCGGTGTTCGAAATTCATATTAGAGCTCTGACTGAATTCAAATTGTTCACTACATGGCCTATTTGATGATAGTACTCCAACATGATTTTTTTCCCTATTCAAAACTTAAACTTAAGATCTCTAATTAGGAGTGAAGCAGTCGCACTCCACAACAACCTATACCCATGTTGATAGGTTCTCATAGTTGGTGTATGGAGTTAATGGTGAAGAATCTTCCTTTATTTTAGTGGGGAAAGCCATTAAAAAGAAAGATGTTGACTTTCGTGATTTTATTATGAGGTTTAAATTTACATTTTTCATTTGAAAATGACAAAAAAAACAAGCAACTATGGCTCCATCATGAATATTTTAATTTTTGTATGGTCGAAGTTTGGGTATGGGTCTTATAAATAGAATTATGATAAAGAACATTTTCTTCATGTAGTGTAAACGTGTGTATTTACTTATTCAATATTATACAAGTTTAAATGTTTATTTGTGTCTGTTTAAAGTTTAAGGATATAGATATATACCATATGAGACAAAGTTTAAAAGCACATTTATGAATTATACTTGTTTATATTTGATCAAAAAATGTAATTATTTTTAGTTGACGGATCAAATATAACTTGCCCAATAACAATCTCTAGAAGTCAATTAACAATATCAAACCAAATATCATCTTAATATTTTGTCTAATTATACTTAGGGTGTGTTTGGTATGAAGGAAAACATTTTCCGGAAAATGTTTTTCCAATTTTCTCATGTTTGGTTGGGTTAAATGTTTTGGAAAATGTTTTCCAAATCAACTTATTTTCCTCAAATTTTAAGGAAAATGACTTCCCTTCAAGGAAAACATTTTCCAAAACTCTCTTCCAACTTTTCAATTAAAAAAAAAAATTAGTTGAAAAAAATCAATTTATTTGGTCCCTACCCTCAAACCAGCCCCCCCAACCACCCCTACAAAAAAAATAAAAATTTAAAGTTTGTTTTTAAATTCAATATTTTTACCCCACCCTCACTCCTACCCCCACCCCTACCACCACCCCTCCCAAAAAAAATATTAAAAGTTATTTTTAAAAGATATTTTTAATTTCAATTTTTTATTTTTTATCCCCACCCACTACCCTCGCT